AAGTTAGGCAAAAATCCTGCCTAGAATAGGTCAAAATTTTTCTAAGTTAAGAATGTTTTGCACCCCTATTCCAAAAATTGTAACTTGAGCTACAAGCTTCTTTTGAGGAAACTTTGTGAATCAAAGTTGTAGATTTTGCAATGAACTATAACTTTCATGTTTTGAGTTTTGTTTGAATCCAAATGTATCTTGATGAAAAGATGGGACAAAGTTAGGAAAAAATTAGGAAATTCCATAACTTAGAAAAATTTCTAAGTTATGAAATTTCTTCATTTCAAACCCTAATTTGTAATTTTTGGTTTCTTGATGAACAAGTTTCATAATTTGACATGTCTTGATGAAAAATGGATCTTGGCATTTGATTTTGACCAAAAAGTCAAAGTTTGACTTTTCAGTATACAGTCAAATTTGATCAGTTGATTGGAAAATTCATCTGTCAAACTTGTGCATTTGGGATCTTTTGAACTTGTTGAATGTGTCAAGACCATGCCATTAAATCCTTGAGTCCATATGTGAGCTTGATTTGCCATTGGCTAGGTCAAACAGTCAAAAATTGCCTTTGTGCAGTCAAAACCCTAAAAATGACCATTTTGCCCTTTTGGTGATCTGATCAAATTTCTTGTGGAATTGTGATCCAAACTTGATCAAATGGTCCATATGAGTCCATAATGTTGATGTGGGTCAGAATTCATGAGGTTTGACTGTCAATTGGCCACAGTTGACTTTTTTTCAATACAGTTGATTTCTAGGTCAACTGTCCAATTGACTGGGCAAAGATTAGAATAAAGGCTTGAAACTTGGTATGGATAGACTTGTGAATTCAACATGAAGCATGAAAGTCATTTTGGGCATTTTAGGTCAAAACATCTTTGTGCAAACTCAAACCCTAATTTGGGTCAACAGTGCAAGGAGAAGTTTTGAGCAGAGTAAACCCTAACTTGTTCTTGAGCTCCAAGGGTCTAGTGATGAGAAAATATTGATGAAATGGGAGGGAAAATTTTGGGGTACAACACCCTATACATTTCGATATTCAATACACTCAGGGTTCCATATCGATGTCAAGCATCATACATTTTGCATACATATAACATTCAATACGCATGCATACACATGTATCACATAGCAAACAGACAAATAATTTCACCCTCGATTCAACTATCTAAGGGTCAACCAATGCAATACTTCTCCTACGATTCAACCCGTCACCTTAGTCTTCATGCCGTGACACATTCAGCCCATCACCTAGGTCTTCCTGCAGTGATGAGTTCCTTACAAGTCTCATTACATTGCCTCTAAGCTGCAATGTATTCTCAAAACTTAGTACATTGCCTCTAAGCCGCAATCTATTCGCAAAACTTAGAATGTTGCCTCTAAGCCGCAACGCATTGTCAAAACCCATTACATTGCCTCTAAGTCGCAATGAATTCTCAAAGCTCGGTACACATTTCCTCTAAGCTGCAATGTATCCTCAAACCCAACACATTTCCTCTAAGCCACAATGTATCCTCAAAAATCAACACATTGCCTCTAAGCCGCAATGTATCCTCAAAAATCAACACATTGCCCCTAAGCCACAATGAATTCTCAAAACTCGATGCATTGCCTCTAAGCCGCAATGTGTTCTCAAAACTCAGTACATTGCCTCTAAGCCGCAATGTATTCTCACAACTCATTACATTGCCTCTAAGCCGCAATGTTTTTTGTAAAACCTAGATCATTGCTTCAGACTTCATGCAGCGATGCTCGAAAATGAAACCTAGCTTATCGCCTCAGACTTCACGCAGCGATTTGCGAATCTAATCCATTGCCTCAAACTTCATGCAGCAATGTGTTTCATTATGCCAAGTTCTAGATCATCGTCTCAGACTTCATGCCACGATGTTCGAAACAAAAAATTTAGCTTATCACATCAGACTTCACGCAGTGATTTGCGAACTTAACCCATTGCCTCAGACTTCATGCAGCAATGTGTTCTAAATTCCAGATCATCATCTCAGACTTTATGCAGTGATGTTCGAAACCAAATTTATCTTAACACACCAGACATCACACAGTGATTTGCGAACTTAACCCATTGCTTCAGACTTCATGCAGCAATGTGTTCCAAACCTAGACCATCGCCTCCGACTTCATGCAACGATGCTCGAAAACAAAACCTAGCTTATCACCTCAGACTTCACGTAGCGATTTGCGAATCTAATCCATTGCCTTAGTCTTCATGCAGCAATGTGTTTTTTTATCCCACAAAATCCAGCCTATCGCATCAGACTTCACGCAGCAATTTGCGAACCAAACTCATTGCCTCAGACTTCACGCAACAATGTACATCTCTCTATTCCGTAACATAAACCATCGCCTCAGACTTCATGCAGCGATCTAGCTTATCGCCTCAGACTTCACGCAACAATTTGCAAAACTGTAACCCATTGCATCAGACTTCATGCAGCAATACGTTCCTTTATTCCATAAACACCGATCATCGCCTCAGACTTCATGTCGTGATGCTCAGAAGAAAAAAACTCTAACCTAGTTCATGCAGCAATACGTTTCGTTATTCCATAGCACGAATCATTGCCTCAGACTTCATGCAGCGATGCTCCAAAGAAAACAAAACTTTAACCCATTGCCTCAGACTTCATGCAGCAATGCGTTTCTTTATTCCGTAAACACCGATTATCACCTCAGACTTCATGCAACGATGCTCCAAAATACAAGGATTAGCCTATCGCATCAGACGTCACGCATCGATTCACAAACATAATCCATGGCCTCAGTCTTCTCAAGCAGCCATGCATCATCAATCATTGTTGTTATTCATCCTCCCAAATGGATGCATAAGCCAAGACATACAAAATTTCACTTTTTAGATCAAAGACTATCTGCCTCGTTATCAAACCCTGGTAAGCGATACAGCATCAGCTTTGCCTACTTCCTTGAGACTTGTAAGGGTATGCTATATCAGTGTAACCTTATGTTCGTCGAACAAATTATGGGATACTTCAAGTATTCAATAAACTTCCAATCAAAATGCGTAAGACTCGAGTTTTCTCACGCTATTCGATTGGAAGATAATTGAACAGGGGCAACTGTCGTACCCCAAATTTGTCCTACCTCGATGATTTTATTTTTCAAGATTAAAATGGAAGAAATATTTAACTAAAGATGGTACAACAATATCTGATGGCCCATCTTTATCCAAGACTAGGGGGTGTATTTTAATTCAGGAAAAAGGGGTTTGATAAATCAGAAAGACCCGTTTATCCGTAGGCCTATTTACGAAGCATGTTGGCCAATGGCCCATGCAATTCGTAAAGGAAAGTTATTCAAATAACTATTAAAGCCAACTTAAGTTTAAGTGGTTATTAGTTGAAATTAAATTTATTAAATCCATTTAGAGATTTTTGCCAAGAAGGAGGGTGTGAATTCAATAAGAAAGCCGATTAGGTTTTCATTGTTTCAAGAAGAAAGGGGTATGATTATAATTACAGGCCTATTAGAAGCAGTAAGCTAGGCCAGTTATTTATTTTATAAAAAAAACTGTTTCGTTTTAAAAGATATATATATATATATATATATATATATATATATATATATATATATATATATATATATATATATATATATATATATATATATATATATATATATATATATATATATATATATATATATATATATATATATATATATATATATATATATATATATATATATATATATATATATATATATATATATATATATATATATATATATATATATATATATATATATATATATATATATATATATATATATATATATATAGTGATAACTTTAATAAAATGTAACTTTTATGAATGAGGCAAACATCTAAGTGAGTATCTTAAATTATCCAAATTATAATAGTGATAACTTTAATGTATGAGGTCCATGTATGAGGATTAGAGTACCTTTAGTATTCTTTATAAATATACAGGTTGCTTGTAAAAAAACTAAATATTCCTCTAATTTCTAGAAGAAAAAACAGAGAAGATTTGTAAGCAAGAATAAATTGAAGTGGGAAAGAATGTTGTTAACTTTATATTTTCTTGTAATAGTGATACTAGTGAATGTTTGTACTTTATTTAAATGGTTGGTGCTTGATTTTTTCGGAAAGAATGCAACAATCGTCTTTTCAGTCATAAATAATCACTGGCAAATCTTATTAACAACCTCGTGAAAATTTAGGTTTGATGGTGGATTAGATCAAGGAACAAATATTTTATATTTGACTTAGATCAATGGTAGTTTAATCCACTATGGTATCTTAGGTGTTAAATCATGAGAGATTGCTAGTTTTTGTTGTTGTAAGCTTGCATGACTTTATTTGTGTTTTATTGTGGCTGATTCTACTTTTTTTTTTGTGGCACTTTTTATATTAAAAATGTTTATTAATATATCTATTTTGTTTACAATGAATTCTCTTAATTCTTATACTGTATTAAAATATAAAATATGAAGAAAGAAAAAATCATATTGCAATGCAATGTAAATCCATCTGTAATAATATCTTAATGATATGAATACATACATATGAGATAAGTAGTGATAAATTAGTAAACTGATATCATGTATCTTCACATTCCTCACACTCCACCATTTCAACATTAAAATCATTTACTTATCAACCATTTACCATAGCTGCACTAAGGATATACACTCATGGCCCCAAGTTGGACATTTCCTTAATTATCTCTTTCGTTTTAGAGAAGATACACATCACGAACAATTCTAGCATGAGATATAGCCATTCAAAACATTCATGATAACATTAAAATAATTTTTTAATTATTTTAATATATCATGAACTTTGAATGATTATTTTCATAATCATGTCCCCCCGTCACTTCTCATATTCTTTGTGAATATCGAGAATCCATGGTTGACGGGGAGTCGAATCCAAACATTTGATTAGATTGACATTATAACCGAGAGAATAATTGTCTTTCCAACAACACCATATCAAGACATCTATCTTATTAGTAACAAGGTGAACAAGAGAAGCACGAACAACAACGCCAACCTCTAACCCTTTGTTTTTGTTTTGTTTCAGATTTAGAACTATCGAGCTTCTGTATCGATTGTTGTTTTTCATTTTTCTCTTTCTTTTCTGATTCTACAGTTTCTGAACTCGTTCTTACTCCTTCAGCTGTCAATCTAAAAGAGAAAAAAATATAAAAAAATATGATTAATAACATGACATATATCATACTTGTTTTTTTTCATCAGTTTTTGATTTATGATATTAGGGTTTTATAGAACATAAAGTGACTACTAACATAGGAAATTGAAACGAACGGTTGCTCATATCACTTTCGACTGAACGATACGAGACATTGGTGGCATAGTTTTTAGGTTCTTCATCAGGAGCTTCATTAGGTTCTTCATTGTTCTGATTGTCATGAGTTTCATCCAACGTAATTTCCTCAACATTTGATGTTCTTTTATCGTCGACATTTGAAATTACATTTGTTGTTTTATCCAATGTATCTGTTGAATCATGAGAAGAATCTGATGATAAAGACGTTCTCTCGTTAACTACTTCATTCTCATCATTACTACTATTTACCTCTTGAACTAGTTTCATCGTCGACGAAGTCGCATTTAAATCATTAGTCCTTGAGAGTTCACCAGATTTAAATGCTAAAAATTGTTCCCTTGAGAAGCTATTGTTTCCAAAATGTAAACTAAACAATGATTCATTTGATGCAACACTCCATTCCATAGGGTTCACAGGTTTAGGGCCAAAAGCAGAAGAAGGTATCCTATTTGGATCATATCCTAAATTAGAGTTAGTGCTCATCAACTGAATTGGAGGAGAATGTATCACTGATCCTCCACCTTGAAAACTCCAAACCGGTGAACCGTAACCGCCATTATTAGATTCTTCAAATTTGTCTATATCTTTATCACTATCATCTGAATCTAGTGAAGATTCTGATGAAATTGAAGAACTTGAATGCTTCATTTTTATATGATCAATTGGATAATCTTCATCTTCCGGAAGATCGAAATGTACTTTCAATTTCTTACCACTTCCTTTTCTATTCTCATAACTAAATGACGTCATTAATTTTACAAATCTAAAAAACAAAATCAAAAATACAATAAGATCTCATTATTAGAAACTACATAATATAATAAATAACTTAGATAATAAAGATTAAAGAATTAACAAAGTTTTGTATACAAAATTAAATCTTTTGTCATGCACATAAAACTACAAATATTTCAACAATTATTATACAAAAAGAGATTATTTCACTCATTAGCATGCAACATTTGATTTTCATGACAAATGAAAAAAACCTAAATGATTAAAACAATATAATATTTTCTTATTGTTCAATCAACAAAATAATGAGGGAAAATTATATGAAACTTACTCAAATATTTATGATTGATTCTGAAAAACCAGCTTCAATTTACAACAATCCTTCAACAGAAAAATTGATGCAAGATTAAAGGAGATGAATATAAGAAAGAAAATTAAGATGAAGGATTTAGGAAAATTAATTAAAGAGATGAAAGCTGGGTTTTGGGTATATGAAATTGTTGACATTGAGAATCACAAAGGAAGGCAAAGAGAAGATCTCGGAAATTAATTTGTTTAATTAACAGAGTCATTTTCGAACTAATCCAACTCTTTTTGACCAATCTTGGATGGTTAGAGACCAATAATAATGTTTTTTTTGTTAGATTTTCATAATATAATTTTGACTAGCTGTTGTTTTTTTCAACTTTCTAGATTCTCTAGTTTATAATTTTATCCTTTGTGTGAAAAAAATAGTTTATAAATATATCCCAATATATTTCATAATGTAAATCTGATTTAAATTAATATAGTTTGTTCAATTAATTTTTTAATATACCTTAGTAAGTGTTTGATTTGATACCTTCATTTTTTTAATACACGAACCAAAATGTATTAGGAAAAATAATATTTTTTATATATTATTTGATAATATCAATTATTTTATTTCCCTTATCATTTAGCTTTAATTGTTTATTACTCTTTAGTTTTTTAATTTTTAAATATTTTTTTTTATGAATTATTAATAAAGAGTAATCTTGTAAAAGTAAATATATTTTTTATTTATGTACTTGCATTGATTTTATTTAATATTACACTTGTCTTAAATATATGTTGGGTTATCATATGAAGCATCCATATTGGGTCAAGAGTAATATATAAGTGAGAGAGACATCATATATTCATAAAAAATCTTAAGGTGATAGGTGTATGAGTCATCTCACTTATAAAAGTGTTCAACCTCCACTTTTTCAAATATTATGGAACTAATAACTCACACTTGCACATAACATTCCTCCTTCAAGTGTAATTCCATCCACTATGCTCCCCTTCAAGCGAAAGTCTTTTCATCCACATACACTTGTACCGTTGTTGAGGCACTTCAACGAGACACGCCACTTAACCACAACCATGTCAGGAAGACTTTCGGTACAAGGAGTCGGACTCTTAATTGAACCATCGACTCTGATACCACTATGATGAGAAATTAAGACACAATAATAGACTAATACACATCTGATAAAATATTTCCCAAACGTGTAGGAACCTTCAAGATCAACAACAAAAATAAGACGACGAATCGAAAAATAAAGACACAAAAGAACATTGATATTTTTAACGTGAAAAACCCCTCAATATGAGAGTAAAAACCACGAGTCATTCAGACCAAAGAAAATAACTCCACTATAATCAATTGAGGATACAAGAGAGTCTTAAAGTGTTTCACAAAATAGTGATGACAACCGCAAATCACAAAGCAAACTAGCTTTAAATAATCAAAAAGCTGAAAATTTTCTAAAATCTGCAGCTTTAGTGCGAAGCAAATATCTCTCATCTCAAGCCTTGTTTTGAAGATTCCAATAGTAAAAAATTAGTCACAGGTGTTGCGAACTTGTCCTCCAAATTTCAGCTCGATCCGACGGTGAACGAATTGAGGATCATCTATTTAGTGAGACTACTGCAGAAAAAATGAGAATGAGTTTCTCTCCACTTTACTCTCTTTTGAATCCTTATTTTCTCTCTATTTCTCTTTAACCCTAAATTGACACTCTCGACTTATATAAGTGAGACAAATGGATTATTCATATTTGGATATTTCTCCACATAGAAAGGGAGCCTTAGCCCAACAAATGTGAATATGTGGTGTCTCTCTCACTTGTGTGTTGCTCTTGATGCAATGTGGATGCTCCCTAATGACCCAACAGTGGTATCAGAGCTCTTGGTTAAAGGTTATTTTACTTGTTCAAATGATAGAGTCAAATATAAAGATGAAGATGGTATTGTTGATTCTAATTACAATTTATGGAAGGGCAAAATGAAAGACTTATTATTTATGAAGAAATTGCATTTACCGGTTTTTAATTCCGCAAAAGCGGATTCTGTATCTGATGAAGAATGAGATTTTGAACATCAACATGTATATGGTTTTATTCTACAATATTTAGAAGATAATATTTATAATCATATTGCATCTAAATCAGGGAATAATAAATTGTATTTGTTGAATAGCTTTATAAGTTTGAAGTATAAGAAGGGGACTTCTATTTCATATCACTTGAGTGAATTTCAAGGGCTCCTCGATCAAATGTCAGTATAAGAGTTTGTTGGCAGCAATTTTGGTAAAACAATGCTTTGATAATGTTTTGCTAAGTGTCTTGACATTAGGAGCAAACTGTTTTGAATAATGTCAAAGTAGATGACTTGACATCTGCCTCCCGAGCTGAACGTAACTCACATCAGTTTAAGTTTTCTGTTTCTGTTTTCATGCGTGCCATAATTCAGGATTTGTGACTCATAGGCTGCGAAAAATATGGTGGAATATTTTTCTATTTGATTTATCCTTATGGATTATATCTTGGCCTGTTTTTATGGAAATATTCAAAAGATTGGAATATTTATTTTTCAGCCTAATTGTAACACCCCAATTCTACCCCGACAAATTATATAAATAAATTAGAGTTATAAAATTCATATCATGCAAACGAATCAGGACGTCAAAAATTCTTCTATCAAAATTCATTGCATTCATCGTGGATATATAACACTTTCAAAACATCGGATGAACCATCATAACATCTTTAATTAAATAACTCAACATCTACGCAGCGAAATTCTCAATAACAATTTTATCATCAATACAGCAACTTCGAAACATCACATATTAATAATAGTCAACTTAAAGTTCCACAACTGAAAATCAACAATCAAAAACAGCAAGCGTTCATCCCGCCGAGTGTTACATATCAGAGCAATGACATCGACTCGAACTATTGAAGGTATACAACCTTCACTCTCGATTACCTGCACGTTACCAACATAAGAGCAACATTCAAACAGAAGGGGTGAGATATCTAACAATATAATAAAGTACATGATAATTAATATATTAAATTAGATCAATAACATCACCACTTCTCATCCCATAATCAACAATAATTACAATGCATATACACATTTATCAACATCAAAATACATTTCTTTATGCAATCATATAATGCGACTCAATACTATGCAAATGCATGTGATACCATTGGAGCAGAACTCCCATCTCAAAAATTTGCCAATTAATAGAGGCATCAACAAGGCATAAGCCTTCATCTCAAAATTCGCCAATACAGGCCATCTCAACGAGCATAAGCTCCATCTTAAAAAAATGTAATGTATGCGACACAATCATGAATGTAATAACAACACCCAAGTTAACAACATCTCAAATTAACAACATCTCAAATTAACAACATCTCAAAAGAATCTCAACGTCTCTTCATCAACATCTCATATCATCAGAATAATTCATCAAACATCATTTATTTATTATAAATCATCAACACAACATCATTAACAACTTCTCACTAACAATTCAGCTGTACATTAACACCACAGTAATTCATACTGCTATTCTGTGATTCTTACATCGTTACTGTCACTAATCCTACTGTCATAATTTGAACAGCAGCCTCTAAGGATCTCATCTTCACCATTCTGTACAAAACCAACGCAACGACCAACATGTGGATAAATTCTAAATCCTAAATTGTCTACTAGGATTACACTTCTTATTCTTCATTTTAATCCTCTAAAACAAAGTTCATCGCGTTATCTATTCAACGCTTCGTACGGAATCTCAAACGACATCCTAAAACTCAATTTACAACACTTTAAAACTGAATCTGCCAAAAATCAGGCATTATGGGTCGATGCAAAACCCCTTGGATCGACGTGTACTTCTCTAACTGCACAACATGAGTCGACGCATCCTCTCATGGATCGACTCATCCTGAGTCTTGCATACAGCATGTATCGACACATGCATCCCAACGATCGACTCATCCTGAGTCTTTCAACCTTCATGTACCGACGCAAGCCTCTTCGTGTCGACTCATACTGAGTCTTTAGGCCCTCATGTATCGACACATCATGTTTGAGGTCGACACATCCTGATTCTTCCTGCATAATTCTGCGATTTTCTTCCCTGCCTCTCACTACGGGATTCATGTTTTAGCCCTACAAACTTAATACAATCATGATAAATCATCACCTACAATTATCCTATGGTTCTATATCGATCAAACAACATCGGGACATCTTTATTCATCTAAAATTCATCAAATCTTCATCATACATCATCATATACATCCAAATCAAGAACAAAACAACAATCACCTCTAACCCACATATCAATCATCATGAACCCAATTATAAAGTTAGAACCCCATCCTTACCTTGGATTGAAGGTCTCTCTATAATTTTCCGGTTGAATTCTCGTTCTGCCGTTTTTCCACTTTTTCCAGCAGCTTCACGTTCTCCTTCTCAATCCTTATTCTTCTACCGCTTCTTTCTTTTCTATTCTTTCTAACAACAATAAAATAACCCTATTATTATTTATTCTTTATTAGGCTCCAAACTAATACACCCCCTTATTACTTTTATTCCTTCAAAATAAGCCCACACCAAATAATGTTATACTTCTAATATTATTTCTCCACCTAATAAAACAATTAAATCCAATCAATTAATTATAACACATCTTCACAAAT